TGTACAAACACACGCCTTGATTATGAAAATGGGAAGATACTCTTAGGATACTCCATGGCTATTGTACTTTGGTGCCACAAAAAACATAATCTCATCACTATTGGGATCTACTCCATGACAGTTCCCCCCACCCCCCATGCCATCTCATACTCTATGATTCTTGTCCTTCCTTTTACACAAATTCTTCATAAATTAAAACCATTTCCCCCATGGGTTTTGTGAATATTGTTGTAACAGTTGGGCCACCTCTTGCTCTTATTCCATGACCAGCTCATTTTACTTTATGTGGTTATACATAATGATGTCATTTATAAAACTTTCAAGTTCAGGGACCAGGTTTTCACCTATCTTTGTATCCTCCAAGCTTAGCCCAGAGCCTGGCATATAGCAAGCACCTAATAAATGCTTGTTGACTAACAGGTGACTGTTATGTCACTGCAAATTTAGACTCTTCTGAGATAATTCTTTTTATTTCATGTGCACCCATCCAGCATCACTGTAAGATGTTTTTGTTTTTGTCCAGTCCTGTGATTTCATCCTTGTAGCAAATTCCCCACTCCTCCCATCAATGCAGATCAGCAATCATTTTGCTGTCATAAAGTCATAAAGAGTTCAATGGGGGCACTGAGATAAACACAAAGTTATAGTCTTTTGGACCCAAGTCTTTAAGTGAAGCCTTCATGGCTGATGTGACGTCTGCTGTCTCAGAAGTAACCATCAATTTTGTCTTAGTCTTTCAGTGCTACATTTCTCTTCTCATGGATCCAGAAACATTCCAGGTAGCCTGCAGCACTCTATGGGTGCTTATCTTTCCTGATCCATGATTTGGTTATCTAGCTATTCTCCCTGACAAAAATCTATCAGTCAGAGCTGATGCCACCCCAGCCAGACATGCATGTGCATCTGTAATACTTCCCAGGTAACATATTTACTTTTTAACTGAAGACACAGTTCCTTAACCCAAAAGAATATCTCAACCAATGCAAATTTTAAGGGCTTTTGAAAGCACCTAAGAGAAACAAACCTAAAGGGATATGTTTAGGCAGTTGAGAATTTTGGAACTCCTCAAATCATGTGATCAAGGTGCCAGCCTACCCCTGACTATGACTGGCTCTGTGTTTCCTCATTGTGGATGCTAAAGGATTTTCACAGACTTGTTAAAGGCCTCAGCAAGTCTGATGATCAAGCTATTTATTTATTCTCTGAGAGCATTCCACACTGGATATTAAATGTTTGGCACTCCCGCGCCCCCCCCCTCCAATGTTCTGTTTCCAATGGCAGTGGGAACAAGATGTCCTTTTGAGATGTAAATGCACTAAAACTGACAATTGAGCAAGCCTGCTGACCTCTGAGGAAGAGGGTAAAAAGAATAAAGTACATAAATAAAAGAAAAATAAAGTAGCCAGGCGCTTACACTCACAAATAACCCAGTGAAGAGCAGAAATGATTAAGTTAAAAGCTTCATTAGTTCTAAGGAACTCCTGCAGACTGGGAATGTTAGAACAATGATGAAGTATTTACTTGTCAAAGAGGACAGACACTTCTCTCATGACACACCAGGTATTCATTAGAGGAAGTGCAGCCTTGCTAAATAGTATGCCAGCTCATAAAGCATCTTGGGTAGCAAGCAGCCATAACTAACAGAAGGATGATGGATCATTCAGCTGTGGAGAGAAGATGCATAATCGGAGAAATCAAAAGGCTCTGTATTTAAATATGAATGTTGGAATGAGTGACACCCTAAAAACAGGAGATCACTAAAGGGGGAGTCTCCATATTAGATTGAGTTGTGCTAAATGTCAACCTACAAAACCAGAAACAAAATAAATCATATCTGGGAATGCTTTTTTGCAAATTCGATACTGACTCATGTTAATATTTGTAACAATAACAAGTCTGCACTGCTATTAAGAGCAGCCAACAAGATTATTTCATACTAAGATACAGAATTATGACTTAAAAAAAAAGACAACCTTCAATTTATTTCCTAGGTAACATTTATTTCCTTAGGGAATGCAAGCTATAGTTGCTCACCTTTCTTTGCAAAAGAGATAGATAGATAGATAGATAGAGAGAGAGAGAGATAGAGAGAGAGAGAGAGAGAAACAGACACAGAGAGAGAATAAAGTGTATCTGAACTTCTGATAGAACGACTAAGGATACAGGCTTTTCATTTGATCCTCAAGGGGTGACTTTAACAGTAGCCAACTTGTTTTTCTCATATTTTTAAAGGGTACTTAAGTTGAGCTCTGGGGATCTTTATTAGACAAAGTTCTTCTAAATGTATGCAAATCACCACTATGTTTTGGTTTATAACATCTTTGCTCCATACAGTTACAGTAAATTAAATTTAAACACCCTTCAAATAATGAGAGAATTAATCAACCTCATTCTGAAATTACTCAAAAGTATAACTGAAACATCACCACCAGCCAGCCTAGATATATTCATCAGGTCACCATCATTCCCCCTAATGTATTAATCAATATTTACATTTGGATGTGAGTGTGAGTGAGTCTCTGGAAATTCATAACACTTTACATGAAATAAAGAAGTCCTTATTTTGGAGATTTGACTCAGAGAGAGCTAGGCAGCCCTCTTTCCCACTTTCCAGTTCTAACCCTTTGTTAACTCCTCCTTTTTTGGTAGTTAATATCAAGGACTTCTTACTTATCTGGTGTTGGAATTCTCTCACCTACAACAATCCATAGTCAAATAACTAGACAGTGTCAGGTCTGGGATTGAAATCTATGTCTTCCTAATTCTAAGGCCAACACTCCAGCCACTATATCATATTGCCTCTCAACTCTATGTTTAACTTCATGACATAAAATGTTAGAGCTGGAAAGAAACTGAGATTATCTAATCCAAACACCTCATTTTACCTCATTTAGCAAAATTAAGGTCCAATAAATTGTGTGACTTGGTCACGATTATGTCACTACTGCCTTGGTCCAAATCTAGACATTTCCTCTGAAAAAGAGATCAATTGGAATTGATAAGATAGTATATAAGTCTAGAATAAGAAAGTCTTGGTTATAAACCACACTTGAAGGGGCAGCTAAGTGGCACAGTGGATAGAGCACGGCCCCCGGAGTCAGGAGGACCCGAGTTCAAATGTGATCTTAGACCAAACACTTGACATTTAGTAGCTGTGTGACTGTGGGCAAGTCACTTACCCCCAATTGCCTTGTCCCCCCCCCCAAAAAAAACCAAACCACACTTGAGTTTTATACAAGGCAGATATGTAGAAAAAACCAGAATCAAAATGGAAATTAATGGCAGAATTTATTTTTAGAACTTCTACTGATACCTGTCAAATTAATTAATGCAAGGTACCAGTCTAAGGCAGTATTGATATCTACAATTTACTTGTTTGTATCTTGACTACCATGGGAAGGGAATTAAGGATTTTGGTTTAAAGTTTGTTTTTTTTTTTTCCCCACTAAGGCCCTTAGGACAAAAATTAATAAAAATCTCTCCACGTAAAAAACATAACATAAACTAAATCACAAAAAAATGACAATGTCAAGAACTAAAAGTAAAACTGTCCTTAAATTTTACTTCTATTATAAAAAAAATTAGATTTTCAAAATGGTATCCTATTTGATATACATTTGACAATGCATTGTTCTCATGCCAAAAGAGTATTTATTGAATGGATGATTGATATTCAAATGAAATCATAACTCAGGTTCAAGTCAGTCACGAATGTCACTCACTCATTTTGTCACCTTGGACAAGTCCCCTCTCTAGGATTCAGTTTCCTCATTTGCATGAGGGTTTGGGCTAGATATTCTCTAGCCTGAGAATCTATGAGTTCATAAAACTGTCAATGATACAAACACTACTGTGATTTAGAATAAAATTTCCATCTGGATCTTATTCCATTAAAAAATTACCTTGTCTCATTCACCCTTAATATATTTAATCATTACTTCTTTTTTTTCTCCCCAAGACCTGTGACTTCATCAGTATATGGAATTTTCTGTGAGGAAATCCCCTCAGTTAAGTAGATCAGTAACTGTTCTGCAATTCATACTCTTAGAAAGTTGCCTGTGGTAATGAGATGTTAAATGATTTGTTCTGTATCCTTGCCTAAGGCAGGATTTTAATTCAGGTTGCGCAGACCCTAACACTAGCCCTCTATCCATTATGCCACTCTTAATTACAACTATGTATATATATATATATATATATATATATATATATGTATGTATTGGTATGTGTATTCACATGATGGATATTAGGACAGTCCTAAATATCATGATATTATGAAATTTATCTAATAGTAATCAGAAAGAGGCCCTAGGGAAGAAGTATATTTTTTCACAGGAGTTACAACCAGAGGTATCCTGGTAAATATTTAATAAGCAGGTCTCTAAGTAGTACAACACATTTTTAACATCAATTTGCACCATTAACATTTGCTCCATCACTTTTATAAATCTATAGGCAATCAACAAAACAATAAAGAAAGCCCTCGTTTGTAGCATTTGGTAATTTCTAAGGTATAAATGTTCACCCTGAAAATTTAGTGATCAGCTCTCTCCAGCCAGTATAAGCTGGCTCCAGCACACTCCAGGTTGCAACATGGATCCAGATGAATTCCAACAACAGAAGTAATAAAGAGAACTGGGAGAAAGACCAATCAACACCTGATGTTTCTATGGTAGTTTACAAATTACAAAGTATTTTCATAAACATGATCTCATTTGATTCTCAGAAGAACCCTGTGAAATAAGCCAAGGTATGCACTGTTATCCTCATTTTGCAAATGAAAAAACTGAGGCTTAGAGTAGTTAAGTGACTTGCTCAAGATCATATCACTAATAAGTAGCAAAGCCAACGTCAAGGTCTCCATAGTCTATCACCTTGCTTCAAAAAAAAAAAAATTACAGAAGGAAGTACTAGTCTTAAACTTTGATTCTTCTCACGCAAAGAACATTAAGGAGGTACAATCTAGTGCCCAGCTTAAATTCTCTCACACACACACTCACCTAAAACTCTATGAAGGCACAGCAGGAACTTTCCAAAACCATATATTTTCTGTTCTCTGAAATGGCAGCTGACTATGGAACTTAAAGGTTTCCAAGCACTTGATCCAGGGACTGGTAAATCCTAATTATCTGTAATGGAGAAAAATACACTTCTAATTAGCTAGCCAAGCCCACACTGCCTTGTTTACTTACAGAAACAGCGAGTCAAATTTAGCAGGTCTAGATCAAATGGAACTTATATTTCTGCACATTTGTACAGCATGTACAATGCAAAAATGACTTATCCCTACTGGGACATGTATTGTATCACCTCAAAAATGTCAACAGCTTGCATTTATTCAGTATTTTTTCCTCATATGATGCTGTGAGCTAAGTAGTGAAAGTAAATTTTTCTTCATTTTACAGATGAGGAAACTGAGGCACAATGGGATGAAATTACTTCCCCAAAGTCTCAGGGCTAGTAAGTGTCAGAATGAGGACTCAAACTCAATGTCTTTAGCAAGAATAGAGCATTTCCCACTCCATCACATTGCCTCTCTACTTTGCTATTTCTGTTGTTATTGTTGAGTTCTTTCAAGTCCTGCTGACGCTTTGTGACCCCATTTGGGGTTTTCTTGGCAAATATAACTGAGTGGTTTGCCATTTCCTTCTTCGGCTCATTTTTACAGATGAGGAAACTGAGGCAAACAGGGTTAAGTGACTTACTCAGGGTCACACAGCTAGAATGTGTCTGAGGTCTTCCTGACTCCAGGCCTGGTGCTCTGTCCACTGTGCAACCTACTGCCCCACTTTGACTCACTAAGTATAGAATCTAACAATATTAGGGCTTAAAGGTATTTTAGGGACCATTTAGTTCAAGGTGTTGGTTATAAATTAGTAAGGAAACAGAGACTGAGAGAAATGAAGTGAATTGCTGAATGTCAGTCAAGTAATGAAGGCATCACTGTTTCAAAGTCAAGTATCATGATTCTTAGTTTGGTGTTCTTAGCATTTAAAAACTCAAGTAAAAGGAAGACATTTTGTTATCATTCTAATTTCCCACAAGAAAATATGCTGATTATAAACCACACTTGAGTTTCATAAGGGTCGGATGTACAGGAAAAACTAGAATCCAAATAGAAATTGATGGTAGAAAAAGCTCTCTTTTAATCTTAGAACTTCTACTGATACCTGTTAGGCTAATGCAAAGTACCAGCCTAAGGCAGTACTTGCATATGTGTTAGTTTATATCTTGATTACCATAAGAAGGTAATTAAGTATTTTTTTTCTTTAAGACTTTTAGGACACAGAATTAATAACTATTGATTTTGTTTCCTTACTACGAAGTAAACAAAATTAGGATTGAAGGTAAAGCTGTCCAACAGATGTCATCACAAAGAATTTTTAAATTGTGAGTAGATCAACAGTCAAGAGGCATAAATAACAATTCTGGCACCAGGGGCAATCAGTATTAAAAGTGTCTTCAAATACTTTTAAAGATAATTTTAGTTTTGGGGGTAATCATCCCTTGGGGGTCAAAACAATAACTCCTGGGGAGAAAGCAGGGTAGAAACTCATAATTTAACCAATTATTCTTCCTAACAAGGTGCTAAGTTTCTTTTTTTCCTCCCTAGCTGATGGAAGACACATGCTATCAGTGAATTCTAAATTTTGGCATTAAGGGAGAAAGCTGCAGTTGCCTCCCCTGGATGAGGCAGATCTGATAAGAAGACAAAACATACAGTTCAGGCATGCATCAATAGAGTTGACCATTCTAATCCTTAAAACTTACAATAAAATTTACTTAGAGTACCTGAAATGTCACACACACTCATTTTGCTACATGGTAATTAGATATAAATGGCAAAAAATTTCTTGAATTATGGCAGTTAACATTACTTTTGCATAGCAAAACTAGTCATAAAAAATTTATCTCTTTGCATCTTCTTTAGTGTGCCAAAATTTGTAAATGTTTTAATATCAACAATTTTCCCAGGTGCTACGCAGCCTGATTAGGTGAAAAAGGAATCTGAGGTTTAGAATCGAAAACATTGATTTGAACCCCAGCTCTGTTAATTATTAACTCTGTGTCCTTGTGCGAGATACTTTAGTTTTCCAGTTCCTATAAAATGATGGAATTGGTTTAGATGGCCTTTAAGGTCTCATCCAGTTCTAAACGCCGATTATAACACTCTAATTACCATCAACATCACACTAACAATTATCCACATTAAAAGACAAAGGTCTGGGAAGCTTATATCCTAGGAATTTTAGATATCTTGTTCTTGACCTCCCCAGAGACTGATGCTCCCTCTACTATATCCATAAAGTCCCATCATAAAACCAGTCCTATTCCTGGTCCCCCTTCCTGCCTCTCCCCATCCTCATTGCTCTTGCATGAGGGCTTGGTGTTTTAGGTACTAGCAGACTTGAGGGAACAACATTTCTGAGTCAACCTGGGGATGGATGAGGGAGAAAAGGGCAGAAGGAGGCCTAAAGAGGATTGGGGAAGAGGAGAGAGGTGAGGAAGAAGAAAGGAAAATAAGGAAATGGTCTTAGAACCAACTGTCCCTTTTGACCTAGCCATTAAATCACCCTAAAATGTTTGAAATAAGTTCACCTTCAGAATCAGTCTTATGCCTTGTCGGATTTCTCCTTACTCCTAAAATATAGTGTTGACACTTAAAATACATCTCCCCCATTTGCTCCTAGTATCTTGGTGTTCTTTTAAGAAGAGATAACTCAGCATTCCACAATTACGGATAAGAAACAAAACTTGGGGAAAATTATCACAGTGATATAAAAATTATTTTTAGTAAACTCAATAAAAGTTTAAAAAGACTATTTTTTGTTTTGAGCAAGAGGTTAAAGATCAAGAAGACACTGGGTATCTGAATGGGTGATGAGAAAGGAACACTAAAAGGGAGAAATGAATAGAAAAGGGAATGTCACAGAGTCCTTAATATTGCCCAGGCCTCAGTTTATTTGCATCTAAGCTATGACAGAAAAAAAAAGTACACACAATTCATAATGCTACTTCTGGTCTGGTCTTTTCCTGTAGCATGCTTTCAGCCAAGACTGTATTAGGAGAGAGAGAGAGAGAGAGAGAGAGAGAGAGAGAGAGAGAGAGAGAG